AATGTAGTTTTAGATAGGTAAACATTCCTGTTTTGGGTTAGGGAAACTTGTCAGTCATGAGTAGATATATAAGAACAGTGATTCTCAACCCTGGCCGCACAGTAGTTGTAGGGCTTTTAAAAAGTACTGATGTTTGAGCCTAAAAAAGTTAAATCAGAATCTCTGGGAATGGGAAGAAAGCATGGCATTCTTTTTTTTTCTTAAAACTGATTACTTGATATAGGCATACTCGTTTTGTTGTTCTTTGCTTTATTGTACTTTCCAGATATCACAAATTGAAGGTTTATGGAAACCCTGTGTTGAGCAAGTCTTCTCAGCACCACTTTTCCAATAATGTTTGTTCACTTTGCATCTCTGTGTCACATTTTGATAATTCTTGCAATATTTCAAACTTTTTTGTTATTTATTATTTTTATGGTGATCTGTGATCAGTGAGCTCTGATGTTGCTATTACAAAAAGATTATGACTTGCTAAAGGGTCAGGTGATGTTTAGCATTTTGTAGCAGTAAAGTGTTACTTAATTATGGTATGTACATTGTTGTTTACACCTTATGCTGTTACACACTTAATAGACTTAAGTATAGTGTAAACATAACTTTAACATAACTTTTATATACACTGAGAAACCAAGAAATTTGTGCGACTTGCTTTATTGCAATATTCACTTTATTGTGGTGGTTTGGAACTGAATCTGCAATATCTCCAAGGTGTGCCTATACTGATATGCACCCAGAGTTGAGAACCACTGCAGCAGAGTAAGTTTTTCACCTAGAATCTTAATTTTAGCTAAATTTGTATATTCGAATGCATCAGTAGAAGTAATTTGAACATTGCAGAAAGTTTAAAAAGGGCAACCTTACCATCTATTCATTTTCTGTTGTTGTAACAGATTACCACAAATTTAGTGGCTTAAAACAACACAAGTTTATTATCTGACTTTTTGAAGGTCAGAAGTCAGAAATGAATCTCATGGGGATAAAATCAAGGTGTCAGCAGAACTGAATTCCTTCTGGAGACTAGGGTGAATCCATTCCTTATCTTTTCCAACTTCTAGAGACTGCCCATTTTCTTTAGCTGTGGTTGTGGTCCATCATTCCAACCTGTGCCTCTGTTGTGATATCTCCTTTTCAAAGTCAACTTTTCTGACTGCCTCTTATAAGGACTCTTGTGATTATGATGGGCCTATCCAGATAATCCAGGACAATCTCCTCTCTCAAAATCCTTAACTTAATCACATCTGCAGAGTTCTTATTGCCAAGTAAAATAGCAGTCACAGGTTATAGGCATTAGGACTGGGACATCTTTGGATGGTGGTATTAGGGGGAGGGGCAGTTATTCAGTGTATCATACCAGCTTAACATGATTATCACTTTGGTGTTTTCCTTCCTAGTCTTTAATATGCATATGTTTAATTTAAATGTGATCATCTTACATATAGTTTTCTAGCCTTTTCTACTTAGTTTATCGTAATCATCACTTAAAATGGCCACACAATAATCCATCTATGATTATATCATATTTTACATTGTATCTTTATTGTCAGATTTTTGTTGTTTCAGATTTTTATTACTGGTATAGATGAAGCTGTGATAAATATTTTTATTAGATTCCATGATGTGGGAATACAGAACTAAAACATAAACATTTTTATACCGCCAAATTCAAAATGCCTGATTGTATTTTTAAAGAGTTCTAATCAACTTATTACAAGAAATAATCACAATGTATGAGAGCTGACTCACTGGAAAAAATCCTGATGCTGGGAAGGACTGAAGGCAGGAGGAGAAGGGAGCAGCAGAGGATGAGATGGTTGGATGGCATCATTGGCTTGATGAACATGAGTTTGAGCCAACTCCAGGAGATAGTGAAGGACAGGGAAGCCTGGTGTGCTGCAGTCCATGGGGTTGCAAAGAGTTGGACATGACTTAACAACATGATTGAACAACAATGTGAGAGTACAAGTATTGCTGTATTTTTGCCAATATTGGTCATTAATTTTTAAAAAGGACTTTTTATTAATTAGATATATAGAAAAATGTTGCCCTGATTTAAATTTAATTTACTTGAAATTATTTTTTGTTTCTGTTTATTAGTTTCTCTTTGTATGTCTTGTTCATTTATTTCTTATGGTCTGAGTTTCTTATTATTAATACTTTTGAGGTTTTTATACAGTGGATTTATTTTCTTATGTGCTACAAATGCTTTTTTAAAGACATTTAAAAATTTTAGATGTTCATATATGTTGTTTCCTTTGTGATTTTTCTGTGCTTAAGTTTTTCTATCTAGCAGAGAGGTTTGTGCTAAATATTCCATATTATTTTCTTCGACTTCTTCCATGATTTAGTCACTGCCCTCAGTGAATTGCCAGCAAGCTAAGAAGTTTGGAGACTTATGAGTCCAAACTTACTATATGACTTACTGTATGAAAGCAAGTAGCACGTTAATTTGGTTCCATTCACATAATTTATCAAAATTGGAGACAAAATTTTAAAAGGGCTAGAGAAGAATCTAGCATTTTTAGTGCATTCCTAAGATGTTTATTGCCCTTCGCTGAAAGGTTTACTCACCATGCCTGTCATGTTGTGTTTTCAAGCATATAATTGAGAATTATAGTGAGCTATCTTAGTCCATGATAAACAGACAGAATGCACTTTAATTACATTCTAATTTATTATCTGGTGAAAGTACCTTGCTAACAAATCAACCCGGATATGACTTATTGGATAGCCTTTGCACTTAGAGGGATAATCAGTCTGTAATCATAAACAACATGAACCGTTCATCTTCTAGATTGCTATTATATTTATTACCGTCAAATGCCTATGCCCAGTTTCTTTCCTGTTTGTTTCCCATATCATGGCTCATGTACCCCCACTCAGCCTGCTGTAAGTTGGTGGAATCCTGTACTTACAAATTCTTTTTCTTGAAATAAGGTTTAGGCACATGCCTGGGAGGGAATTGTGTCACTTTACTATAGGGATAGAATGCATTCCCCCCAGTAACAGTAAATAGAATAAACTGTCACCATAATATACTAATATGTGATTTATTCCTTGCTGCCCTGATAAAAACAAGCAGTTCTAATTCTACAAAGAAATAAAAACTGTGCCCCCTAGAATAGCCATCGCATCCTTTAATATCCTCTTTTACTGCCCACTAGTTTCAAAAAAGAGATACACAGATTAAACTGAAACAGCTCCTGTTTTTTTTTGAGATAGCCGTATGTAGGAAATTGGTATTAGGCAGTAGATTTTACCAAGTGAATGCATTTCTCTGATGCAGTACCTTCTTAAATTCTACCACTTAAGGCTAATGGCAGGATGAACAGCCAATGGCACTAGTTCCCAGAATAATTTAGAAGTTTATTATTAGTTCCACAGAATAATTTAGAAGCATTACATTTCCTTAGTTGACCCAAATATATTTGAATACCACAATGTTAGGGTGAACGTTGGAGTGGACTAGAGTGTGGAGGTACCATACAGTGTAGAACAATCTGAAGAAAATTATAATCAGCCTCCTTGATGTAGTTACAATAGAGTTGTTAATTGCCTTTTTAAATTTCAGATACCCTTTTTTCCTTTTCTACTTCTACCTTAATGATTTTAGTTGAATCTACTGATCCTGTTTGGTATCTTTAGCATCCAAAGAAAATAATAATCCTTATTTGGGAGTATCCTCTCTTAATGAACAAGGATCTTATACCTAGAAGAGATCTCATCAGTGCTTTTTGGTATAACACAGTTAATGTGCCTATATCATGCAGCTGGTATATGGTGAGGGGATCTGGAACTCCTGCATGTTAGTGCTGTGATCTTTTTGTTTCCATTCTTGGTCCAAATTTGTGCTGTAGGAAGCATTATTATGAACAAAGCTAGTGCAGGTGATGGAATTCCAGCTGAGCTATTTAACATCCTTAAAGATGATGCTGTTAAAGTGCTGTATTTGTTATGCTAGCAAATTTGGAAAACTCAGCAGTGGCTACAGGACTGGAAAAGGTCAGTTTTCATTCCAATCTCAAAGAAGGGGAAGGCCAAAGAAGGTTCAAACTGCTGCACAATTGTGCTCATTTCACATGCTAGCAAGGTAGTACTCAAGATCCTTCAAGCTAGGCTTCAACAGTATGTGAACCCAGAACTTCCAGGTGTACAAACTGGATTTAGAAAAGTCAGAGGAACCAGAGATCAAATTGCCAACATCCGTTGCATCATAGAAAAAACAAGGAAATTCCAGAAAAACATCTACTTTTGTTTCATTGACCACACTATAAAGCCTTTGACTGTGTGGATCACAACAAACTGTGGAAAATTCTTAAAAAGATGGGAAAGCAGACCACCTTACCTGCCTCCTGAGAAATCTGTATGCAGGTCAAGAAGCAACAGTTAGAACTGGATATGGAACAACAGACTGGTTCCAAATTGGGAAAGGAGTACATCCAGGCTGTTTATCATCACCTTACTTATTTAACTTATATGCAGGGTGAAAGTGAAAGCCACTCAGTTGTGTCCAGCTCTTTGCGACCCCATGGACTATACAGTGCATGGAAGTCTCCAGGCTAGAATACTGGAGTGGGTAGCTGTTCTCTTCTCCAGAGGATCTTCCCAACCGAGGGATGAAACCCAGGTCTCCCACATTGCAGGCAGATTCTTTACCAGCTGAGCCACAAGGAAAGCCCTATATGCAGAGTACATCATGTGAAATACTGGGCTGAATGAGGCACAAGCTGGAATCAAGATTGCCAGGAGAAATATCAATAACCTCAGATATGCAGATGACACCACCCTTATGGCAGAAAGCAAAGAGGAACTAAAGAGCTTCTTGATGAAAGTGAAAGAGGAAGAGGCAGGTCGGCGGGCAAGATGGCGTCCGGTGAGTGATTCTCCCCGGATACCTCCAGCGGCCTCTGAGACACCGGGGCCGGGGGTGGGGGGAGTCCTGTCCCCGCTGCCGGCCTTCCTCCTCTCCCCCGCCCCCAGAGATCCCTCTCTTTCCCTTCCTCCTTCTATTTCGCGGGGGTGGAGTCGGTGGGAGGGAGGGGAGGCGGGCCTCATTTCTGGGACACCATGTCCGAGTCTGAGGAGAGCCTGGACCGGCAACTGAAAATCGTCGTGCTGGGGGACGGCACCTCCGGGAAGACCTCCTTAGCTACCTGTTTTGCTCAAGAAACTTTTGGGAAACAGTACAAACTATTGGATTGGATTTCTTTTTGACAAGAATAACATTGCCAGGAAGCTTGAATGTTACTCTTCAAATCTGGGACATAGGAGGGCAGACAATAGAAGGCAGGATGTTGGATAAATATATCTATGGAGCACAGGGAGTCCTCTTGGTATATGATGTTACAAATTATCAAAGCTTTGAGAATTTAGAAGATTGGTATTCTGTGGTGAAGAAAGTGAGTGAGGAGTCAGAAACTCAGCCCCTGGTTGCCTTGGTGGGCAATAAAATTGATTTGGAGCATATGCGAACAGTAAAACCTGAAAAACACTTAAGATTTTGCCAGGAAAATGGTTTTAGTAGCCACTTTGTCTCAGCAAAGACAGGAGACTCTGTCTTCCTGTGTTTTCAGAAAGTTGCTGCTGAAATCCTTGGATTCAAGTTAAAGCAGAAATAGAACAATCACAGAGAGTGGTGAAGGCAGATATTGTAAACTACAACCAGGAACCCATGTCAAGAACTGTTAACCCTACTAGAAGCTCTATGTGTGCAGTTCAGTGAGCACATTTTTCTTTTGTATTGATAGTTCTGACTGCCCTTCACCTCTGTGTGGGCCCCAGGGAGCTCTAGGAACTTGTTTTATCAGTGACCATCTCTGTAGTTCAGTTAACACTTTCTGCTCAACTTGCTTCATCATTGCTTGTTGCCTCAGCCACAGGACTTGGACTGGAAAGAATTCAACTTCGGGACCACACACTTTGAATTCAGCTTGGAAAGCCCATTCTCTGGAATCAGACTGCTCCATTGAGAAAGAATAATGTTGGCTCTCTTATGGCCTCACTTCTTTTGTCTGTGATGTAAATTTTTTTTTTAAACAAATATGAAAACTATCCAGGTCTTGATCATCAGCCAGGATTTTGCTGCAGCACAGTTTCATTCTCTTATCTGAACTCATACCTGGCAAAGTATGCTTCAGAGTGCAAACATCTGAATGAGTCATATATTTTATCTACTGATACTTAAGAAAGGATGCTTTTGCTATCTCTTGTGAGTAAAAATATATAAAGCGGTATCTAACTGAAAATGCTTGAAATAAAGCTGTAATAGAAAAAAAAAAGTGAAAGAGGAGAGTGAAAAAGCTTACTTAAAACTCAACATTCAAAAAACTAAGATCATGGCATCCAGTCCCACCATTTCATGGCAAATAGATGGTTAAACAATGGAAACAGTGGCAGGCTTTATTTTCTTGGTCTCTAAAATCATTGTGGATGGTGACTGCAGCCATGAAATTAAAAGACACTTGCTCCCTGGAAGAAAAGTTATGACAAACCTAGACAACGTATTAAAAAGTAGAGACATCACTTTGCTGACAAAGTTCCATATAGTCAAAGCTGTGGTTTTTCCAGTAGTCATGTATGGAAGTGAGATTTGGACTATAAAGAAGACTGAATGCTTTCGAACTGTGGTGCTGGAAAAGACTCTTGAGAGCCCCTTGGACTGCAAGGAGATCAAACCAGTCAATCCTAAAGGAAATCAACCCTGAATAACTGGAAGGACTGATGCTAAAGCTGATGCTCCAGTCCTTTGGCCACCTGATGAAAAGAGCCGACTCATTTGAAAAGACCCTGATGCTGGGAAAGATTGAGGGCAGGAGGAGAAAGGGTGACAGGATGAGGTAGTTGGATGGCATCTTTAACTCAATGGACATGAGTTTGAGCAAACTCTAGGAGATAGTGAATGTCAGGGAAGCCTGGCATGTTCAGTCTATGGGGCTGCAGAGTCGGACACGATTGAGCAACTAAACAAAAACAGTGTCCGTGGGATTCTCAAGGCAAGAATACTGAAGTTGTGTGCCATGCCCTCCTCCACTGTCTGAATATTAGGAAAGAGGGATGTTTCAAGAGAACAGCATCAAAACATGTATATTATCTAGGGTGAAACAGATCACCAGCCCAGGTTGGATGCATGAGACAAGTGCTTGGGCCTGGTGCACTGGGAAGACTCAGAGGGATCGGGTGGAGAGGGAGGTGGGAGGGGGGACCGGGATGGGGAATACATGTAAATCAATGGCTAATTCATTTCAATGTATGACAAAAACCACTGCAATGTTGTAAAGTAATTAGCCTCCAACTAATAAAAATAAATGGAAAAAAAAAAAAAGAATAGTTCTTACCCTAACTTTCCTACCAGTATCCTTACTTTCCTATCAGGGAAGTCTGTATGCTTCTATTAGGACTAACCAAAAGAGAAAGCACAATTGGGATTTGGGGATGAAGTTGAGGGAGGGAGAGAGTGGAATCTTGAAAAGATGCAGAAGCAAGTATTTCTGAGCAGTTGGGGCTTGTTCATTGCGTCTTATTTAAGAAGTCACCTATATTATCTGAATCTTCAGCTGAGCTTGAATGTTAGCAGGGCCTAACTCCAGGCCAAATCGCCCTGTAAAATTACAGCTTAGTTTGGTTTGGAGAAAATTTGCTTCATGTTTGCCATCCCCTTTGCTCTGCAGCTGTTGCTTTCTACTCTGTTTCCTGATACTTCTTTCTGTTGGCAGTGTTTTCTGGACCCATGCATTCTGTGCATGAGTTATTCCATAGCCCTCTTCTAAGACTGTGTTTCAACTCCATTTTAGGAATAATTACGTAGAGTTATATTCCAAATTTAGTGCATTTTGACTTCAGGAAGACCCTTTCAGGATCAAATTAGAACAAAATTGTTATATTTGGCCATAATGGAATAGAACCTCCCACTGTGGCTTCCAGCCTTCTAAGTCTCCCCAAAATAGACCTTAGTAAGATAACTAAAGACTTCTGTATCAGTAAATCTAATGAATTTATTTAAAAATGTTTCTGTCCTAATTGTTGACAAGTTTTTTTTCTTGAAAAACATTCTTTACTTGATTTTATTTTTTCTACCACTTCTTCCCCACCTCGGCTGGCTTTTCCGGGTGATTAAATGTTAGTATTCCCTCTTAACCACCCTATTCTCTCTCCAGTTTATCCCTTTTGTATCCTTCAGTTACTACAAACTGCATTAGTCTAATCTATCCACCTGGCCTCCTTCCAATCTACTCCCCATATTCCTGAAAAACTCAAAAGTAGATGTCAGCATAAACATACCATGTTCTCAAATAGGAGATTTCAACATCATAAAGCACTGATTCTCCCGTGTGTATGTGTTAGTCACTCAGTCGTATCTGACTCTTTGCCGCCCCATGGACTGTAGCTGGTGGAATTCTCCAAGCAAGAATACTGGAATGGGTTACCATTTCCTCCTCCAGGGGATCTCCCTGACCCAGGGATTGAACCCTGGTCCCCTGCATTGCAGGCAGATTCTTTTCCATCTGAGCCACCAGGGAAGCTGATTCTCCCATGCTAATTTACAAATTAAAGTGGTTTCAATGAAAATACTTGAAACACTAATCATAAAGTGCATACTGAACCCTGAATAACATTGAAGAAGAAGAGCAATGAAAAGGGGATTAGCCCTTCTAGATATTAAGACATACTATGAAGTTTCAGTTAGAACAATGTAATACTGGTGCATGAATTGACAAACTAATAGAGCAGAATTGAAAATTCAGGAATAAATTAGAAAATACAATAACTTAGGATATGGTGAAAGCAGTATCTTACTTGAGTGGGAGTAAGGATGAACTCTAATAACTGGTATTGGTATAACTGTGTAGCCATCTGGAAAGAGAATGTGTTAGGTCAATACTTGACATTATATATTTGGATAAACTCCAGATTGGTCAGAGATTTAAACATAAAATGTGAAATGATGGGAGAATTTAATTAAAACTTTAGAGTTATAAAGCTTTTCTAAAATTATGACTCAAAATCCTAAACTCAAAGTGTTGGTTTATTTGCCTTTAAAAAAATCCACATGACCAAAGTCCATGAGTAAAGTCAGAAGAGAAATGCAAGATTCATGTCAACCCCTATTAAAATTCCAATGACAGTTTTCATGGAAGTAGAATAAACAATCCTAAAGTTTATGTGGAACCTTAAAAGACACCCACATAGTCAAGCAATCTTGAGAAAGAATAACCAGTCTGGGGCTATCACTTCTTGATTTGTAAACTAAATTACAAAGCTGTAGTAATCGACACACCATGGCACTGACCTAAAAACAAGCACATCAATGAATGGAACAAAGACCCTAGAAATAAAACCATATATACAGGGTCAATTAATTTATAATAGAGGAGCCAAGAATATACAATGGGGGAAGATGCCAAGAATATACAATGGGATTAAAGTTTCTTTTAATAAATGAGGTTGGGAAAAATGGATGGCTGCATACAGAACAGTGAAACATGGACCATTATCTTAACATACAGAAAATATCAACCCAGAATGGATTAAAGACTTTAATATAAAATTTGAAACCATAAAATTCCTAGAAGAAAATAGGGGATAAATTCCTTGACATAGGTCTTGGCAATGATTACTATTATTTTTTGACACCAAAAACAGGCAAACAAACAAACAAAAAAACACAAGTGAGACTACATCAAACTAAAAAGCTTCTGTACAGCAAAGGAAATCATCAAGATGAAAAGGCAACCTACCAAATAGAAGAAAATATTTGCAAAATATATATTTGATAAGAAATTAATATCTAAAATATGTTTAGAACACCTACAACTCAATGGAAAAAACAATCCAATTAAAAAGTAGGCAAAGGATCTGATAGACATTTCCAAAGAAGATATGCCAGTGGCTAACAGGTACATGAAAAAGTATTTACCATTGCTAACCATCAGAGAAAAGCAAGTCAAAATAACAATAAAACATCATCTCATACCTATCAGAATGTCTTGTATCAAAAAGATAAGACATGCGTGTTGGTGAGAATATTGGTGAGACTTTTGCACTGTTGGTGGGGATGTAAACTGGTGCAGCCACTATGGAAAACCGTATGGAGAGTACTCAAAGAAATTGAAAATAGAATACCATGTTACCCAGCAATTTCACTTCCAAGTATTTCTCTAAAGGGAATAAAATCACTATGTCAAAAAAAAAATCTGTAGCCCCCTGTTCATTGCAGCTATTTTTACAATAGCCAAGATATGGGAACAACCTGTGTTCATTCATCAGCAGATGAATGGATAAGGAAAGTCTGGTACACATACACACAGACACTGAAATATTCAGCCATAAAGAAGAAGGAAGTCTTGCCTTTGTGTATGAATCTTGAGGGCATTTGCTCAGTGAAATAAGTCAGAGAATGGCACATACTGTATGTTCTCAGACAGTGAGAGACAAATGTGTAATATCACTTGTATGTGGAATATAAAAGAAGAAGGACTTACAGATTACAGAGACTAGATTGGTGGTTGTGAGAGGTGATAGTAGTTTAGTCGCTAAGTTGTGTCCAACTTTTGCGACCCCATGGACTATAGCCCTTGAGGCTCCTCTGTCCGTGGGATTCTCCAGGAAAGAATACTGGAGTGGGTTGCCATTTCCTTCTCCTGGGGATCTTCCCAGCCCAGGAATCGAACCTGCGTCTCCTGCATTGCAGGCAGATTCTTTACCAACTGAGCTATGAGGGAAGCCACCTTGTAGCTTGTGAGAGGTGGGAGGTGGTCAGAATACTTGAAGGTGATCAAAAGGTACAGACTTCTAGTTATAAGATAAATAAGTCCTGGGGATTACTATATAGCATGATGAGTTAACAATGCTGTATTGTGTATTTTAAAGTTGCTAAGAGAGTAGATGTTTTTCTTTTCTGTAGATATTTTTTTCTTTTATTTAAAAATGCATAAAGATACCCACAAATTGAATCAGGCTCTCTGCCTCTTTTTCTAATAACTTTAGTGGATTTTGTTCCTCTGAAGATGGAGACTTGTAAGTAGCAGGGCCCTGGGTGGCGTCCTTCTTCTGCCCTAACAACACAGCCTGCTTTCCCTTGGTCTTTTTGCTTTGGCTACACTGGCCTTTATACTGTACCTCAAACTCATTGTGTTTCCTTCCATCATAGAGCGTTTTCTCATGCTCTTACCCCTGCCAGGAGACCTTGCCTAGATGAAACATGTTTAGCCTTTGATCTCAACAGTATGTTAACTTCCACAGAGATGCCTTCTTGGCTAAGATTAGATTTGCCTTTTCCATGAATTAGTGGTTCCTTACCAACTCCTTTTAACTCTGGTGATAAATGCAGTTGTAC